TCCAATTATAACCAACAAAAAAATTAAACATATCTAAATCCGTCAAACAATAGACGGGTTGACAGTTCAGCTTGGCATTGCATGTCTCTGATTTTCTAGGGTTTCTTTCTCTTGTGTTTTGAAAAGTTGGTACAAAATTAATTTTTGAACTTTTTAATTTTTTTTGTAACTTTTTAATTAACAAAATTAAAAAGTCAAAAAATTTACTTTTTTAATTTGTCGCCAAAAGACTCCTCTCTCTTGGGGAAGATTCGGGAGACAACCAGTCATTAATTTATATCTCTACAAACAAAGAAAATTTTTACAAATAAATAAATAATTAACTTATCTACAATACCAACGTTACATCCTCAGTATTATTTTTTATTATTATTTCATCTTTTACAGAGAAAATTTTTAGAATAAATTAATTAATATTTCACTTATCTACTTACTCAATATTTTATTTTATTTTTAGATTCATAAAATAAATATATAGAGAAATTACTTAACATACATATAAATAAAAGAGTATTGGCTCTTAACATTTCCAGTGCATCTACATGAAGTTTCACCTCACTTATCTCAGAGCTGAAATTAAAGATCCTATGGGACTTAGGCCCGGTTTGGGAACAAGTTAATTTAGTAATTTTTTAGTTATTTAGTTAAAATATAAGCTAAAAAAAATTAGTATATTTGGGATGGCTTTTTGATTTTTTACGAAAAGATGTGCAAAAAGTAGAAAGAAAAGATAATCTTTGACTTTTTGGAATAAGTTGTTGATTTTTTAGCAAATTTAATAACTTTTTGACTTTTTAGCTAAAATGAAGGGTTCCCAAACGAGGCCTTAAAGCACTAAAAAATTAATTTAACTTCAACAAAAAAAATTATAGAAATTTGAGCTCAGACTTTAATGTTGTATTTGATTAGAAAATTTTTAAAAATAAAAAAATTAGAAAAAAAAAAAAGTAAAATGTGAATAAAATATATTTATATTTCATCTCATTTTACATAATTTTTTCTCTTTTTTTATAAATTTTTTTTTAAAATTTTCTAACCAAATACACCATAACCAAAAAATTCAAAAATCTTACTACTAAACCTTAACTTTCTGTAGGTATCAACGTTACGTCATTTTCCACTTGCTCAATATCAACCTCACATCATCATTATTATTAGAAAAATGCTTGGGAGCACTAATTAGTGCTCCCACTAATTAGGTGGTAGTGGGTCTCGTCATGAATGATGTGATGTTTTGGTCTTGGAGTTGTAATTTTTTTTTATTTTTTTTATTTTTTTAATGCATTAATATTATTAGTAGTGATGTTTTTAATGGGATGAATCATTGTTGTTATTATTATTAGGGAAGTAGTTGTGACCTCCAATCCTCACACCCCCAGAAAACAAGTCTCAAACATGTGAGATTTATTCAGTATATTATACCTGTAAAAAATCAAGTTGATCGAATATCATAAAGTATGTGTTCGGAAAATTGTTTATTAAAAAATAGTTTGTAGTCCCAATTTTCTGAACGCATACTTTCTGATATACGATCAACTTGATTTTTTACAGGTATGATATACTAAACAAATCTTAAAATATGAACACTCCTAAAAAAAATATTGACACAATAATAATAATAAGCGAAAAGATCCTATATGCACCTTTAATAGTATGCACCTCGTAACAATACCATAAAAAATTAATATAATTTTTTGCAAAATGATATAATTTTTTACATCACAAAAAAGTATAACTTTTTATTTATCCCTAACTATTATCTACAGCTTCATAAAGTTTAAAATTAAGGCGTGGTTTGGGAACAATTTAAATAAACAACTTATTTACTTATTTGTTATAAGTTGCCGTACCATTTCTTTATATTTTTTGAGCAAACTCCAAATCATCTTCCTGATAACTTTAAGTTTCGTTTTGTTTTAGATTTTTGGCTAAAAAAGTACAAAAAGATAAAATTGATTGTATAAGCCAATGAGATAAAATGTCATATCTAAAATATAATCATTATACTTTTTTCTCAGAAAAGTTTAAAAAGCCAAACCAAACGAAGCTAAAAAAGCCAAGCTAACAAAATCCCAACGCAAAAAAATCAACTAAAAAAACCAATGCCAGACGAAGATTAAGTCATAACCAATATTATAATAGTTCATAACCAAATACCACAAAAACTTGTAATTCGGCATATGGTACATTCTTTTTTTTTTTTGGTGCATTATAGTATTTCCTAAATTATATATATATATAAAGGGAAAGACTAAAAGATATGTATCATATGCACCTTATAATTATAGAAGAAAATAGTAACATTTTATACCTTCTGAGTCATAACTAAAAAAAATTTAAAAAGCCATAATCAAATATACAAAAGTTATAATCAAAATCTCAAAATAATATCATAATTAAAGAAAAATGACGTAAATAAAGATATATATGATATAGGATGTATATAATAAAATTCTTCATATAAAAATTATACCCCTTCCCAAATGTTTGCATTGCTAATAAAATATTGTTGACAATACCTTAAAACCGCCGCTTATGCAAAAAGAATTTTTCAACATTAATATTGATAAATCACACTTGAGATAAATTATGTGACGGAAAAAATTAAGTAGATTTGCCATTATATTAATTGAGAAGGATATGCAAAATGAAAAAAAAAGTACCTTTGCATTTTATAAAGACAAAATAAAGTTTAAATAAAATACAGAGTAAAAAAGTAAATGCTAATAATGTTCGAATTTATAAAGGTCTCCTTAAATTTTTGACGTGCGTTTTGCTGTCGGCCTGAGGACTCATCTTTGTTGATTTAGGGCCTGCTCAGGCTATTGCTTTTCCGTAAATTCAACTGGTTTCCTATCTTAAAGAAATAAAAAAAATTAAATTAAAATGTCACATGCACGTAATCTATAAATCATCTGATAGCATATATAGCAATGTATATGGAGATTTTTTTATTTTTTTAAAATTTATTTTGGTCTTAGAGAGGCAGTTTTTAAGTCGACTCCAAACTGTGGCTTGAAGGAAAGAGGTGTGCATGCGCTTCGGTGTGATTTGGGAGTGAAATTATAAATGACAGATTGATAAATAATTAAATCACGGTTTATTCAATTTAGGCAGTTTTAATTTTTTAGTTGATTGAATAATAATCTTAAACAATTATAATACTAATTTGCATAATATTTTTTATTTATATAATACTAATTTTACATAATAATTTTCATATATATAACACTAATTTGTAACAAATTTTGTATCTTAAATCTCTATTACATTAATTTTTACTTCAATATTTTACTATGGGTAAAAGAAATATATATATCAACTATAACAGAGTGAGACAGCTTTAAAAACGAATTTTAAATTTTAAATCACGAATAGTAGGCGGATTGGTGCGGATTGAGTGGTCTGGTACGGATTGAGAAGTATTTTGCGCAGTCTTAATTAGCACCACAGTCTCCATTTGGAAATTGATTATTCTAGTTTTTTTTTTTTAATCTTTTTACAAAAAATGTGTAAAAAATAAAGAAGTGATGGAATAATTTATAGTGATTTTTTGACTTTTTTACTATAAACCCAAGTCCCCCAACGGGACCTTAGTTGTCTAAGTGATTGTATTCAACTCTTATAGAGAAGAGATTGATATCCTTAATCGTTCAATATATGATGATTGAAAGAAAAGAAAAAATAGAGAAAATTTCAAATCGGGAGTAATTTTAAAAAATAATTATAAATTAGTGATAAGTTTTATAAATATTAATAATTTAAAACAAACTTTTTCATGAATTCGTAATAAAATTTTGAAACCACCACTGATGAATAATTTCTCCTAAAAAAAATATTGACACAATAATAATAATAAGCGAAAAGATCCTATATGCACCTTTAATAGTATGCACCTCGTAACAATACCATAAAAAATTAATATAATTTTTTGCAAAATGATATAATTTTTTACATCACAAAAAAGTATAACTTTTTATTTATCATAAATTAATTTTTTCTACAGGATCGTATAATTTTGTCATTTGTCATTCTAAGATACACACCATAAATTGTCATTTGTTAACTTATATAATAAAGCGACATAATAAATACTATAAAACTCATTGTTTTCACTATAAAAATTATAAATTAATTGATAATTTTTCTCTTTCTTCTTTCTTCTCCCATAGTTATATTATCAAAAATGATACATTCTTCTAATTTGGAAGTTCTAAAAGAGCACTAATAATGTAGAAAATCAACACAAAAAAAAAGGACCAAAATATCACATCACATGATACCCACACACCAATTAAAACTATTAAAACTCTTAATTTAGAACTCCTAATCTTTTTTCTTATATTATATATGTCTCTTTTTAGGAACACATATAGTCTTTCTCTAATAATAATTAGTGGGTGCACACGCGATACGTGTGCAATGCAGATAGCTAATACTAAAAATAAATAATAAAGAATTTAATATTATACTATGCATATTCCTTAAATGATAAGTATGTTTTTAATGGAATCCAAAATCTTGGGTTCAAAACTTGCTTATGCTATATAATAATTTTTTTATTTTAACATATATAAAATGGTCACATGACATGAAGAGAAGAATATTTCACTAAATCAATTTAGATTTTCACTTAATAATAATATAGATAAATAGATAAACGTGCACCAAAAAACAGCTCATAGCAGATCTTGCTGCATAGTAAAGACCCGGGTTTTGATTTAGACCACTAAATCAACAGCACTACTGCCAGTTCTAATGAGCTGGCAGCGAAAGAAGAAAAAAAAAACAAGGTAAAACATCACATCAAGAGATGAGTCTTACTAAGGCCCTGTTTGGTAGAGCTGTGGGAAAGTGCTTATAATTTATGTTTTAACAGCTTATAGCTTATAGCTATGAACATAAACTGGTTTCTGACTTATAAATTAAGCATCTCCTGCCCCACTCAAAGAATAAGCTGATTTCTGACTTACAAAAAGTTATAAACTGCATTGTTAAGCTAAACCAAACACATCAAAATAGCTTAAATTAAGCTAAAAACTGAAATAAGTAGCTTATAAGCTGCACCAAACAGACACTAATTAGAACTCTCCTAGAACTTCCAAATTAGTGATCTTAAACATTTTTCGCCAACAATGATGCATCTCTCTAATTTTAGAGCTCTAATTGAACTCTAATGATATGAAAAATCCAAAAAAAAACAAAAAAGACCAAAACGTCACATGATAACGAGACCCACCTCTTATTAGAGCCCACCTCCTATTAGAGCTCTTAGAACTTCTATATAGAGCTTTAAAACATTTTTCTTTTTCGCAAAGACCCCTTCCTAGGCGGACCTGCAATATAAAAAAATAAATGCCAAATGAGATATTAGCCACAATATACATACATATATTTTGAGACTATTTGATTCTCAAATATCTGATAAAACTATACAAACAGGGATAACAAATGATGTGGCTGTTAAAAAAAAAAAAAAATTATTATTAATTATAAAAATATTAGGGATTTTTTTTTTAAAAGTCTTTGATATTAAGAGTGTGTTTGGTTTGCATTTTAAGATGAATTTTCAAAAAAGCAAATTTAGGAGAGAGTTTAGAAATTTTTTTGGTTTGTTTGGTTATATATTTTGAAAATAGTTTGAGAGTTTGAGATAATTTAATATTTTGTTGTAGTTGAGTAGATGGCGCTGTTTGGGAAGCTGATTTTTTTGAATTTTTTTTGGTTTTTTTCACTAAAAGACAAATTAGTTACAAAACCAAAAAAAAATAAATCCAAACAAAATACCACATCAAACCCCATAATCATGTCGGGCTTGTTTGGTTTGTATTTGGGAGAGTTGTTTTTGAAAAAAATTTTGGGGAGAGAGTTTAAATTTTTTTTTAGTTTGTTTGGTTGTATATTTTGGGAGAGTTGTTTTTGTGGGAGTTTGAGATGATTTGATATTTTAGGAGAATTTGAGTAGATGTGTGTGAGAGAAAAAGTGATTGAGAAAGAGAGAGGAGAGAGAAAAAGTTATTGATTGATGTGTGAGAGAGATAAAATGATTTTGGAAATTTTTTGAGAAAAACTCAAACCAAACAATTTTTAAAATTTTTTTTTTCTAAAACTCATCTCCCAAATGCAAACCAAACATACCCATCATTTTTTCTCTCATAAACATCACATCCAATCACAAAAAAACCTAACTATCTTCCCAAACACAAAAAAAAAATTTCTCTAATAATATCTTACAATTAAAAAAATCTACAAAAAAACCCACTTCCCGAACACCCATGATGTATGTAAGAGCAAAAGTGATTGAGAAGGAGATATGAGAGAGAAAAAGCGATTGATTGATGTGTAATAAAGAGAGAAGTAATTTCAAATTTTTTTGAGAAAATTTGTAACCAAACATGTTTTTTGAAATTTTCTTCCAAAAATATGTTTCAAAATACAAATCAAATACACCCTAAAATTTTATAAGATAAAGGATATACAATATTTTCATAATAGTTAATGTCCCTCAATATTTTCACAGAGAAAGTTTGATTAAGAGAAATTTTGCCTGACTTAGAAAAATTTAGCTCCGACTCAAAGAAATTTCAATTTTTACGGAGAAATTTTGAAATTTCTGTGTGATTACACCAAAGAAATTGAAAATTAAAATTTCTCTGACTAGAGCGAAATTTTTCTGAATTGAATTTTCTTTGTGAAAATGTTGAGGGATTTTGGCTAATAAAAAAAATATCTTGAACCTTTCCTATTACACAAAGTTAGAGAGGGATTTTTCACTAATTTTGTGTAGTAAGAGAGGTTCATTTTTTTTTTTTAATTAGCTAAGATCCCTCGATATTTTCACAAAGAAAATTCGACTTAGAGAAATTTATGTGAAAATTGAAATTTCTCTGAGTCGGGCGAAATTTCTCTGAATCGAATTTTCTCTATAAAAATGTTGAGGAACCTTAACTACTATGAAAATATTGTATGTCATTTACTTTATAAAAATTTCAATATCAGAGACCTTAAAAAAAAAATCCATTTTTGTTGTTTTTTGTTTTCGTTTTTGTTTTTGTTTTTTGGGTAAATCACATTGACACCCACTGAGATTTATGTTTATTACAGTTCCCTCCTTACTTTTTAAAAATTACACCCCCTCCCTAGGTTTAAAGCTTCATTACAGATTGCGTCCTCTAGAAATTTAATTTTTTTAAATACCAATTTCGCCTTCTCTGGGTAAATTATATTGACACCCCTCGCATTTTAGAAATTATAATCCTCTCCCCAAGGTTTAAAGTAGCAATACCAATTGCCCCATCGGTTAGTATTAGTTGAAAAAAAAATTAATTGGAAAAAAATTTTGTTAGTCAAATTTTTAAATTTCTGTTTAAAAATCAACATAAACTCGTTTTTTGAATTTACGTTTTTTTCTCAAATTTACAAATTGAGACAACTATTTATAAACTAAAAAAAATATCAAACAAGTTTTTATGACAGTTTTTAAAATTTTTGTAAATATAAATTGAAAACCGAAAATGAAATAGTTACTGAACAGGCCTCAGATGGTAAAAATGTCATAAAATTAACAAATAATTAAATAAGTTATTAATGTAAGAAACGATTTATCAAAAGATTTTTAAGTTATGTATGGTTTGATTTTTAGAAATTTTTTTAAAAAAATTAAAAATTAATTTGGTTAAGAAATAAAAAATAAAAAAATAATTATCATTTTTATTTAATTTTTATCTTTCAAGTGTAATAAACATAAATCTCAAGGGGTGTCAGTGTAATTTTTATCTTATGTCGGTTTTTAAACCGAAATTTAAAAATTTGACTAACAAAAAAAAATTTCAAAAATTTTTTTTTCCAATTAAATTTTTTTTTTCAATGAATTTTTTTTTGACTAATACTAACTGAAGGGGCAATTGGTAATGCTACTTTAAACCTTGGGGAGGGGATTGTAATTTCTAAAATGTGAGGGGTGTCAATGTAATTTATCCAGTGAGGACAAAATTACTATTTAAAAAAAATTAAATTGCTAGATGAAGCAATATATAATAAAACTTTAAACTTTAGACGGAATGTAATTTTTAAAAGGTGAGGAAAAACTGTAATAAATATAAATATCAAGGGGTGTCAATGTAATTTACCATTTTTTTTTTTTCCTGGTGTTGTGAACTTGTGTAATACAGAGATTAACTCCACATCAGCTTATTAAAAGGACAAACCAATCTCACAAATTAGAATGAAGGCTCAGAGAAATTCAAAATCTCAAATCTTGCATCAATATCTCGATTCACTTTGATAGTCGATTGAGACTTCGTGAAAATCTAAATCAATTCGCAGAGAGAGAAAAGAAACTTGTCTGACTTTAACAGTTCGTTTGGTTTGAACGATTTGAAGATAAAAGAAAAGAAATCAAGAGAAATAGAAAGAAATAAGTTTCAGAAACTATTCTATAAGTTAAGAAGATCACGTGGCCATGTGCTAAATTCAAACAAATTGATGTCCAGATCATGAACAAAACGTATATATATGGAAAAAAAATAAAAAATAATGAATACCGGATGATAGTCTGTACTCAAGCGATCTCTTCTTCAGCCATATCCTGGTAGTTGTTTCTTCCCATAAGAAAACGCAGTCCGCTGAGAAGAAAAAAACCGAAACAAAATCAGAATAGTACTAAAAACACAAAATAACCAGAATTGAATACATATATATATATATATAATTTTAAATTTTTTTTATTTTTTTAAATTTCATTTCCAACGGAGAGAGAGATTGGTAGGAGAGAGAGAGAGTTGGTTAGGGAAAGAGAGGCTGTACTTGACCCTATGCATGGGACACGGAGAGGTGTCTCTATGGCCTATGATGAGCAGGTTTCCATTCTCATGCTTGAACACGATCCTGGAGTAGTCAACCAAGTCACAGGGCTTCAATATACGACCGGTGTCAACGCCGCCGACGAAAATTTTCAGTACAGAAGACCTTAAGGATTCGACACACCGTCTATTAATCTTTGTAGCACTGATTTCCCTGTGTTGGTTTAAGGCCAGCGTGATGGTATCTCCATACTGGCCCTCCGGTGCTGTGCTACGGCACTCACAAATCACGATTTCCTCACCGGCCCTGTTTTCCAGTTTGGTTACAACAGTGAGTGGTAGAGGCATTTCACAAGTTCCACTTCCAATTGAAACGATATCAATGAAAATCTCTTAGAGATACCCTCTGTATCTCTCTGCTCTTTTAAAATGTGAATTGGAAATAATTAATAAAGAAAAAAAAAAAATGAACAACTCATCCTTACACTGTCCATAATGGAGACAAGGATATCCTCATCGATGTAATCGTTATGAAATGATTATGGAAAATATTAGGGTTTAATAAAATATTAGGGTTTATTATATGGGGAAAATTACCAAAAAATCCTATTTCAGATTCTTTTATACTAATCAGTCCATGGTTTTTATTTTTATTTTATTAAATCCTAAAGTTTACACTTCTAGACCCGGAGGTCCTGTTTTCCATTTTATTTTTTTGACCATTTTACCCTTATATATATAATTTCTTGTTTGAATATGATTTTTGGGAAGTCAGCGATCTATGACCTGTATATATTCAATGTTAATGTGATTATGATGTGAATGTTAATATATATAACCTTTAACGCACAATGTACAAAGCACCATACATTGTTTGTTATGGACTTGTCTTGAATTATTAACTCAAGATCGTCATAGAAAATATAAGTGTCATTGGTGGTTCCTCGCCAAACAATTAACCTACATTTAGAATTTAGATATAATAAGACAAGGATGGTATGCAAAGACAGAGAAGTTGTTTGAAATATGCTTACCCGTAACCTCAATTTTTATGCATATTCCTTATCTTTTGTTTGTCCTATTCAGATATGATCTTCCAAATCTCATATTTGTTGGTCAACCTAAACTTATTATGCTTAGGACGCTTAACATCTCGAAGCTTGTGCAAATAGTCTTCAAAATATGGATCTACAATTTCACATTGCTTCTCAGTGTCATTTTGTTCCAAATTTTTCAACTTTTTTTTCTGTTTGCCACCTTTTTTGTCTTGATATTCAAAATCAGGCAACTTCAATTCTTTCCTTTTTTTTGATTTTGATGTGCTTCACCAAAAATGTAGGTGTTTTTTGGGTGTTTTTTCAAATTTTGCTTCAGTTCCACATCTATAGCCTCATGGTTTATCTATTGTGTGACAACATGTATTGCATCATTATCAATTTTATCTTCTAACATAGTTTTCTCAAGTTAGAGTATAGTCTTCTCAATTTGGAGGTCAATTATGGAGTTACTTTGCCTTTCTATCTCAACATTCTTATTATCAATTGTAAGTTTGACAGAGGACAACTCATTCTGAGCTGTTGGATTCTCCTTCTGGTTACATATTAGTGTTTCCAGCTCCAAGATGATTTTGTCTTTCATGTCATTTGCTGCCTGCAGATTTTGGTTCTCAATTTGTAGTTTTGATGAGATCCAATGCTTTTTGATGGTCAGCGACCATTTTCTCTATAATGTTGTCCTAAGCAACCTTTGACACAATGACTTGATGCACCCCATGTGCATGTAGATATGCAAGAGTCTCTGCACCTTCCTCAATATTGGCTTCATCATGTTCATTGCTCTGAAATTGTACTGCATTGCCAAACTTAGTATCAAATGTCACATCAATGTCATTTTTTTGTATGCTAGGACTCATGTCTATTTCTTCCACAATTTTAACGTGATGATCCACACTAGTCTAAAATTGTAGTTGATTGCCCAATTCTACATTGTATGTCTCATCAATTTCATCCTCTTGTATGCTCATGTTCATTTCTTCCTCAATTTTGACTTCATGATGAATAATACTTTCAGATACATCTTTTTAATTCTCTTTTTCCCGAATTATTGTATGTGTCAACAGTATGCTCTCACGGTCTGTTAGTATGAGTTTCTCTATATAAACCTAGTAATAGAGATTACTGTTAGTTTTAGTACAATTAATAATATTATTCACATTAGATAATGTTGGTATCTAACCTCATCATCATTGATTGACGAGAAAGACAAATTCTTCACATTCTTGTGAAGTTTTGTTAGATTCCATTTGAGAAATCGAAGTGCTGCATTTTGCAAAATTGGTTCCACTATTTTGGTACGCTCACACAGCCAATACTACATAAAATGTAACAAATTGTCAACTATATGATTGAACATTTTCAATGTAAGATGAAAATTAGATTACAAACATTCACAATGTGAAGACTTACACTTCAAATATGAATGTCAAAACAAAACCTTGATAATGTGACTCAACATAATCAATGTAACATGGAAAACAAACTCCAAACATTTACAATTTGAATATTCATACTTCAAACACAAATGTTAGCAATATGACAATTCACTCAATGTAATCGATGAAATGTCAAAACAAATTTTAAACACTAACAATGGTGTTTTGAGTCTATTGGAATATCAACAATATGGCTCAACATAATCAATGTAACAATGAAACTAGACTCCAATCATTTACAATGTAAAGATTCACACTTGAAACACAAATGTCAACGATGAAATATCAATAATGAGACTCAACATAATCAATGTAACATGGATAACAAACTCTAAACATTCACAATGAGAAGATTCATACTTCAAACACAAATGTCAACAATGGAATCTTGACAATGTGATCATTCACCCAACATAATCAATGTGATGTAAATATTGGAATATGAAGTATATGATTGAACATTTTCAATGTAAGATGAAAATTAGACTCCAAACATTCACAATGGGAAGACTTATACTTAAAACATGAATGTCAAAACAAAATCTTGATAATGTGACTCAACATAATCAATTAATATACATGTCGAAAAAAAATTATGATTATAAACTAATGTGAATGTATCGTTTCAGACGTACACATTAATATTTATGTGAGTGAATGTTGTATTACATACCATTAAAGCTATAACACAGCCAGTCACTTATTCTGGACATCGATGATGAAGTTCAATGGAATTCATTAATGTGGACTTGATGGTTTCTGCCCAATCATATTCCCTCATCTTGTCCAAATGCTCCATGTGTTGATAGTATGCCCATCCAATTGTCTCGCCGGTTGTGGAGTAAAAGAGCTTTAAACAAGCATGCAAACTTATCAACTTAGCAACCTCCTCATTATCTGATTTCTTTCTCCCAACCAATGCGTCATCGATCAAAGATCGGATATTTTTCGATGTAAGCCTCTATGTGTCCTTGCACTTCTTGCCGATAAGTCCAAATGTTGGTTTCAAACCATATGCAGTTTCCATTGGCACAGATCTACAGTCTACTCCAAAAATTAATTTGATGTCATATGCAAACAATTTGACAGATTTGGGGCCAATTTTGAAAGAATTTGATGCAGGGTTGTATGTCTCTATGATCTTTGTTATCACATTATCATATTTCATGCATGATGATAGTTCAATTTTTGTGTTTATCAGTGCATCAAACATCATCCAAAATGGAGTTCTCTTCAAACATTTCAGCTACCCATCAGTGAACTTCGTTGTTGACATCAACTTTACCAGGCCAGTCATGTTTGAACGGTAGTTCACTTTGTTCATATCGACATTGGGTTTCACATCAGCTGGAGCTGTCTCTTCCTCATGGGTTTGTTCTTTTTTTATTTTTGTCTTTGGTGTTGATATAACATCTGTCAACAAAATGTTAAACAAAAATAAAGACAAGACATTAAGAGGAATGAGTAATTAACAGTACTATTAAAATGAATATTGATGAGCACCAAATTTCATAATATCACTCATAGATAATATGTAAAGAATTAGAGAATATGGCAACATCTAAAAATTATTTTGAATGAAAAATATAAATATTGGAATATGAACTATATGATTGAACATTTTCAATGTAAGATGAAAATTAGACTCCAAACATTTACAATGTGAACATTCATACTTGAAACACAAAATTTCAACGATGGAATATCGATAATGTGACTCAACATAATCAATGTAACATGAATAATAAACTCTAAACATTCACAATGAGAAAATTCATGCTTCAAACGCGAATGTCAATAATGAAATTTTGACAATGTGAACATTCACTCAACATAATCAATGTGACGTGAAAAATAGACTCCAAATACTAACAATGAGAAAATTCCTACTCAAAAACAATTAGCACATTATTTTGAATGAAAAATGTGAATATTGGAATATCAACTATATAATTGAACATTTTCAATGCAAGATAAAAATTAGACTCCAAACATTCACAATGGGAAGACTTATACTTCAATCATTAATGTCAAACCAAAATCTTGACAATGTGACTCAACATAATTAATGTAACATGGATAATAAACTCCAAACATTCACAATGAGAAGATTCATACTTCAAACACAAATGTTAGCAATGTGACAATTCACTCAACATAATCAATGAAATGTTAAAACAAATTCTAAATACTAACAATGGTGTTCTAAGTCTATTGTAATCTCAACAATATGGATTAACATAATCGATGTAGCAATGGAAATAGACTCCAATCATTTGCAATGTGAACATTCATACTTGAAATACAAAATGTCAACGATGGGAAACAAAAATTCAAACATTCACAATAAGAAGCAGAGCATTCATAAATATTCCTAAATGTTGAGTCCCTAAACACTAAAGTTGAAAAACAGAGCATTCATAAAAGTGACATGAAAAATAAAGCATTCATAAATAAGAAAATTCTAATATATAAATTTCAAAGGCTAAATGTCGAATCAATAAACATTAAACATCAAACATTAAAATGTGAATATTCAGGTTTTAATGAAAGAATATGAACTAGTGGATTTAATTTCAAAAAATAATATGAAATTGAAGAAAACAACTTACTTTTGTTCACCATTGGAGTGAGGATCGCAATTCTCGGAATGAACAGTTATCGGCGATCTCAGTTGTCGGAATGAACAATACTCGCCGATCGTAAGGTTTTGGTCGAATAAGAAGGAATTCAACGTTAGGGTTTTAATTTGGGGGAAAACAAAATTGTAGAGTTCAAAGAAAAAAGGCGCCTATGATATTATATGAACATAAGGGTAATATTGTCTTTTTTACCTAGGACAGGACTAAGTGGAATATTAGAATAAATTTTGGACTAATTGGAACATAAGTAATTAAAGATGGATTTATGGAAAAAGCTCCTTTATTATATGTACCTTATAATTAAAAATAATAATAATATAATTTTATACTTTTGAATCATAATTAAAAATAATAAAAAAAATC